GTGGAGCTGTTGGGAGGAATCACTGTGGAGCCAGAGTGGGAGGTGAAGTCTCAGAACGCTGTCTGGAAAATGGTATGAATTTAGCGCCGACAGCCCTTCTGTATCTTTACTTACGATCTCTCATTGTCTCTATATCCTGACTCTTTCCCTCGTTGTACCCCTGATTCTGTAGCGTGGGTCTTTTTCGCCTGTCCATAAAGTAACCGCTGAACCTTCCATGCAAATGATTCAACTGCGGGACCTGCAAAGGAAAGCTTATCGAGGATATCAGTACCTACGATAAGACAGAGGTGCAGTTGTTGTCAGCTCCGTGTCTTGCACTCGCGATTGCGTGTTCGATTTTTTGCGGGTGGACAAAGGCGTCTTCCATGCATTCTTAGTCACTCCGCTGATGCCGTTTAGTCCACGAATTGATGTAAAGCGGTGGCTATTGTGTGAGCCGCACACACCTCAGTGGCATCACCTTTTGATTTCTTTCCCTGGACAATTTCGTCAGTTTCAAGAAAAACTTTGTAAATACATCTTTAAAATATGAAATTTGGCGTTGATCAATCCCTTTTCGGGAGGCGCTACGTATCCTACTTCCACTCACAGTCATCGCATTGAATGGGTCTAATCTATACGCTGAAGTGCGGAGGCCAGTGAGTGTAGAAGTCAGTGTTTTCATCTTCCCAACAAGTTTTGTACCCATTGACAACCTGTAGGGATGAGAGCTTGGTTAGCTTGAGCGAGACTGGATTCGAGACGTCTCGAGCTTTTGGACGTGATTGGTTGCGTCACTTGCTACTAAACTCCATCCCTAACTTATATTGATAATTGGTTTTTATGCTTGAAGAGTTTTTTAAGTGCTCAAGACTACTTCCTTTCTTTTTCAGGTATAGACATAGGTATACCAAGCGGTTCCGGCGATACCCCAGCCGAACTCGCTCGACGAACATCTGCCATGCTTCACATGCTTATTACTGACCATTTAAACCGGTGACTGTATGTAAGCTCTATAAACATTTATGTAGTATTGTTTTGTTTTATCACAGTCTTCAGTTTCTTACTGTTGCTTTGTTGTAACGGAATGTGGCGTGGTGATTAAGCCACATTTTCTCACATCTATAATCTCAATTTGCTTACAGTTTGATAAATTGTTTATTGATACAGTGGTTTCTATTGACGATAATCAAGTTTTATTCTTGGAATAGTACATAATAATATCAATACTACATTTTTTGGTTGCCTGCTCAACCTACGAAAAGGGGAATCCTTTGACCATGGACTCACAAACTTTCTCACTCAAAATAAGCTAGTTACCCACTGCTCCGTTGAAATTGTCACATTCTTTGCTGGCTCACGGTGAGCGAAGCACAAAGAAGCACAGCGACTAAATAAGCATCAATCCGTCCCGCCGACAATCAAAAACATTTTTCGAAGCCCATCCCCTACCGTGACAAGGTCTCCGACTTTGCCCGCCCATAACCTAACTTAGAATTGGTCCCGCATACGCACCCTTGCCACCCGTTTCCTCTAACCCTAACGCATGTCCTAGGCACAACACTGCATTACCAATCATTATTTCCCCATAGTATTCATTCTGACCATCAAAGTGGCAACAACATCACAACCGCCACCACCCCAAGAAAATTCCCGCAACACTGCCATCGCCAGCCGGAGCGGGTTGTGTATTACTCTTATTTTTGATGCCTGTTTCCGCATATTCCATCCATTTTTCGTGAATGTTATAAAAACATGCCTTTCTCTCACACCTCGACAACTTGACTCCTCAACTTCCACCACTACGACCAGTTCTGAATCCAGTACGAACCCTCTTCCCACAATCACAAATACGCAAAAACTGGGGTACGAGCTTGTCCGAAAAGTAGAATACGACCCTCTCCTGTCGGGATTTTCCAGACGCACAGTTGACCCTGGCTACAAGCGTTCTAACGCTTTCGCAGTGATAGCCCTTTTCGTAGGTTGAACCCAGCACCTCGTCTTTTATTGTGTTGATCACCAAGCGATTTAGTTCGTCATCACAGCCATATTCACTAATACGAGATGTCATGCCGCTGGCTAATTCATGTGAATCGTCGGCTTGCTAGTTTTGGTGATTTGGTCACAAACTATGGAGGCTGTGTATTTTTGGTCAGTTTTCCTTTCCTTTTTTCTGTTTTAGGCCGAGTTATTGTAGTTCAGTTCTTTAAAAGCACATGCCAAGATTACCGTGAGTGGTACAACCCTGACCGCTTTTGAGGTGTAGTGGACTGCAAACAAGGTTCTGCCCTTTATTATGGTTCTAAAATGCGTAGTATGGGCCTAAATTTTGCGTAATTGCCATCCACAATGTACCCCTCAAGTTGAGATGCTTCCTATCTCCATTCAATGTCCTGTCGCCTGGTCGCTCATAGTCCCTCCGAAATCACGCACTCTCACTTTGGTCGCAAAGCATGGAAGTCATAGAGCGGTTATATGGAGGGAGTCTTCCCAAGGCACTTTCGGCAGTTGCTTTTGCTTACTTCCCTATTTTTGGATCACTTTCGACTTTCACAATTTCGTATTTATTTACTATTTCAATTTCATATTTATTCACATTATTTGAACCCCTATAGCCATGCTACTAGAATAGAATGCGCCTATGAATTGCATATTTGAACTTGCCCTGGAGATTCAGTAATGTCGCGACTTGCTGCTTTTATGAATGAGTGGCAGTGGGAGGGGAGGTGTTCTCTCACTCTCTAGGATGCCTCTGTTTCTTGCGATTTGTTTCTGTGAAAACCTCTTGGACAGAATCCGAAGAAGAGCGAGATTGTAGTAGAAGTTGCGTTCGTATTCTACGTTTCGGGAGTTTGGATGATTCTGCTGAAATAATGTAGGCTTTTCGATCTGGGGGCTCGTAAAAAAGACCTTTACGTCGAGTCGCAGAAAAGTCAATGGGGGGGGGGGGGGGGTAGAACGATTCTACGATGTGCATTCTGATCTTTTTTGCTGAATCCGCGTTCGTATCCTCTTCTACTCATCTTCCTCTTTGCATGGTCCTAAAAATATATTAGGCTATATATTCAGCTTCGAATTGTAATATGTTACACTTTTTTTTAAGCTTTGTTGGGTTTTAGTTCTATGTTAATGAAACCCTTTTTAAGGTTTTCATGTTGATGTCTGTTTTTTACGTCGGATTGAAGCTATCATGTTACGAGACACAGCAGCACGACCATTGCAATCTTGTCAGTAAATTTGGAGTGCTGATTATTATAGAAATATTAGTCAACCTAGTGCTATTCCAATATTACTCACGGTACGGTTTCAGCAGTTTTTTTTTGTTTTTGAAAATTGTTTTGTCACTTTTTAGTCATAACTGCGTATCTCACTGGCAACGGCAAGCATGTGTAGCTGGTTTGTGCAGAAATGCAATAAACATAGGTATGTAATTGTTTTTTTTTCGTTGAATTTGTGTATGTAATTGATGCGCTTGAGGGTGAAAGTAGGGGTCTATGGTTAAGAATAGCAAGTTCCCCAATGCGCCTTTTTGAAGTTCTTTATTCTAGACGAACTAGTATGGTTAGAAGAGGATGAGGAGGACATTGATCCAGCGTATTTCTCACGATTTTGCAGTGTATGCAATCGCGATGCTCCAATTCGGTACGATATTTGTCTACAAGCTTTTATTTTACAGAGGAATTTTTATTTTTTCTGTTTCAGAAGCCACCACTGCCCTATTTGTAAAATTTGTGTTCTTCGGAAAGATCATCATTGCTTTATTACTGGCGCTTGCGTTGGACTCGGAAATCAAGTAAGTTTAGAAGTAGAGTTGTTCACTGTAACTGCTAGGGTTTACTTGTGCGTAGCATCTAAATCAGTCAAGAGGAAAGTGAAGTTCAAATTGGATTTAGAAAAGTATTGTCCAGGTGTGAGCAATACCGAATCGAAAAGTAGGCTTTGGTTGTCTTTTCCCTTGAGGCTTCTTGTTTACCTTCGCTTCAGTCCATCGTGCATTAAATGTGTTGTTCAAGAAAAGGGAAAATGGGTTGAGAATTGTTCAAGTGGATGTGGGTGGCGCTCTCGCGGCGATAGATGCGCTAGCAGGCGAGGGTACCTCAGCGACCCTTCCGTTCCTCAGACAGACCCATCGCCGACACGTGAAAAGGAAGATGACAGCAATATATATGAAGTAAAGTCGTTACCGTCACCATTCGATTTTCTTCCAAGTGCTCTATTTGCACTGGCTATCAAAGCAGCAACTGCATGCGATCGCACGGTTGATATCCAGTGTTTTAAGCTGACTGATCGACTAGACTTTATAATAAAACTTGCTTCTACCCCTGGGAGAACTGGTGTGGGTCTCGCTATTAAGGGTTTTCGATCGTTTCTTCTCTTGCTTTTTTCTACCGATACTGCTTTGGCACCACTGCCTCATTTTCTTGATATAACTTGCGGCACATTCTTCACGTACACGATTATGTGAATTTCTAAGGCTAAATATGCGTGAAGTCCTTAACTCCTCCGATCTTGTTCACCCACTTTCTTGCCTTCGCGTTTTACCTCAGTGCTTATCTTGTACTCTCGACTATCGCGCTCCTTTCGCCAATGCTAGACTTTGCATATCCAGCGAATCGCTAGGTAGGAGCGCCAGCGGTTCCAACGATGGGCCAGCGATTCGGGCGATGCATCAGGCGATTCAGGAGTTTCGAGTAAGAGCAACAGTCCACTTTTCTTATTTCGCTACGTTTATCTTGCTCTACTTTTCCAGCTTGCGATGTTGTGAGAGTGTGGCATGATTGTTGCCGATTTCTCACTCACTCCTTCTCTTTTCCTCTCTTCTATCAAATCGCTGATGCACCATTCAAACTGCTCCGGCACCGTTCAAAGCGCTGATGTACCGTTCGAACCCAACTTCGCTGACGCTCTTCCATTTTGTGCTTGAAAATGTGTTGGGTTATGGTATCGTTCCTTATGCTTCTTATTTTCAGCGCTATTTCATCACTTTCCTTTTTTGGTGCTGTGTAGGACTCATAGTCGGTGCCCGGTACACTTCAGCATATTTATATCAAACCTCATCCGAAGGGTGAGTTTGCTCTCAATGTATATTTTCGGATTTTTTTTTTGAGACCGTCTTCATTTCAGCTTCCCATTAGGGTTCATGTATTGTGTTGGTCCAGTTGCCGTGATACGATGGATCATGGGTTATACAACTTTTCTACATGCCTTTGTGTGTACAGTATTTTCCTTCATGCTTGCTAGTATAGTAGCAGCTGGAGCATTTTTTGGAATGCAGGTGAGTTTTAGCAAAAAAAAAAGCCACAAAAATAGCTAGCCGAAAAATGTGCTTCAGATTTATTACACGAGCTATGGTTACACAATGTATGAGTATCATAGCAGTGTAAGGGACGCGTTCGACGGTGATGGGTGAGTTAAATTTTGACATCTTTGATGTTTTGGAAAATTTTGAAAAAAAAATGGAAGACGACCTGCTCTCCCACTACAGTACGACCTTTCAACTTCCATCACCACAACCCCTTCCTCTGGAATCCCAAGAACCCTCTTTTTCACAATACATCAAAATCGGAATAACGAACACCTTCAAAAATCACGAATACGGCCCCCGCCGGGATCGGTCAGAGGCACGGTTGGCTCTGCTCACAAGTCATACTCAGCAACAAGCTCTTGAACGGTTTACGGACTACTTGATTTTTCCTCAATGGTCCTGCCGCGATGGCTAGAGCACAGACGATTAGAGAACGGGTGAATGCCCTAGGACTAAGCCTTGGAGAGGAGAGGGACCCGCGAGAGAGCGCAGAGGCGGTTTAAAGGGCTGAGTTCAAGTAGTCCGTCGACCCTCTTGAACATGTTCTGTCTACTTGGTGAGACTGTGTTGGGATACTCGACTAGATTCAATATTTCCAGTGCAACCCTTGGTGAGAGGTTTCGTCTGATTTTTGGACGGTACTGGTTAGTAAATTTCTTGTTTCCACTCTGCTGGAATCCTCAGCTCCTCACCACTGAAATTGCGACGAACCTTTTTCGTGTAAGAAGTAAACAGCTTTAGGAATTTAACGTTTATTAGGTCTTCTTTGAAGTGTCATTTATGTACTAACGGATTCAGCTTGATATTCAATCATCTGCATTTGCTTTCGCTTTTCGTTGTTGTTTCTTTAGTTCATTGATCTCATTGCCTGCTCTGAGACCCTAAGTCTGTTTTTCCTATACGGGTGTGTCTTTCTAGTAAACTTTAATGCGTCAATGAGTTACTTATAATTATTTCTACTTATGGATCGTAGATCTTCATCACGAGTCTTATGTGAAATATGCGCAATAACAGTATCGTGGTTTGTGCTTCCTGTTTGAAAATGTTAATGATACTCAACAGTGGTTTTAACGTAATAAACTGTTTACTTTTTTGTGCTCTTCACAAACAATTTTCTACAGAGCGTGGGCAAGTCCGATTAAGTTGGCAAAAACAGTGCCAGACTTCAGAACATTTCTGCCTATTGTCTATTCGCTTTTTGCGGTTCCATCTGTTCTTTATGCAATGAATGATGGTGATAGTTATCACTGTTTACGACTTTTGCAGTTGCGCCACCTTTCTGTGTCAGCAAAGCACTCCTTCAGGGGTGCGCTCAAGAGTCTCCCGCGACCGCCGCGCTAAAACTATGTCACCGCGCGCGCGACGTCGCTTGAAACAGAAATTAGCCAGGTTTGGGACCGCCCCTCTACGACCGACACAACGCTTTTTGCTCGTGGTCTGTTGTAGTACCTATGCCTGGCGTTTGTTTAGCATTATTCAAGTAAATGTTCACAACTTATTATAGGACCAGTAGCCGCCGCGTGCGGTGACCTACTTTCGCTTGCGCGGCGACCTCAGGGAGCTCTTGGCTCGCATCTCCAGTTCAGTGGATCCTGTGAAGGCGAGGTATTAACTCGAGGAAAAAGATAAGACACCCGTTCCAGACCAGAATTGGCAAGCTGTGGTCACAGTAGTTATTTCTTCAGCTTCCGTAACTTAGACAGTTCGTGCAATTGTAGTTTAGTTTATTATGGTATTTTTGCCCTAGTAGAATATTCGGTGCTTGTTCGGGTGGGCCGAAATGTACGTGGGCGCTGCAAAGAAGCTTAAGCCAAGGCACGGCGGTTCCATTGAGCCCGTTCGTTCTAGTAATGAACTCAGTGTGCTCATCGCACTTCAAGCAGCAATAGCCCAACACTAGTTTCAATAGCACTTCGAATTTTGGCGCTGATCAAAGGCATGCCCCGGAATCGAAATGGGTGGTTTTTGCACATGAATACGAACTATCGGTGCTAAATGGGCCAGCAGTGAACAGAAAAGTAAAGAGAATCTGTCGAAAACGCTGAATTTAAGGGCTACTCACCATGGTAATCGGCTGTGCTAAGGCATTGAGAGACTGAGCGCGGTGAGGAAGAGGAAGAGATGAGAGAGCACAACGAGTGAGAGGGTGCCAGACAACAGCCTGCCGCGGATGTCGAACAATGCAAGTGCTGCAGCTTATTTTTCGAAACCCTGAGCCCTTGTCGAGTGGATGTTTCCGTGTACGCGATCAATCTAGATTGTCTTCTAGGGGTATTTCCTACAGAACCAAAGGAATCGTTCGCACAACTCTGGTCAGGTTGTGCCTCCAAACACACACGCACACCCATGCGCGCGCGCGCACACACACACACACACATGATTTTTCAGAAGCTTGTTTTACGGACTACTTGATTTTTCCTCAATGGTCCTGCCGCGATGGCTAGAGCACAGACGATTAGAGAACGGGTGAACGCCCTAGGACTAAGCCTTGGAGAAGGAGAGGGACCCACGAAAGAACGCAGAGGCGGTTTAAAGGACTGAGTTCAAGTAGTCCGCCGACCTGGGACAACTGTTCCGTAGTACGAGTAGCAACTTTGAGATCGTTTTAGGAGGGGTGGGGCGCATTTACCTACATTTATTACATGCCCGGGATGGAACATCTGATAAAAAAAAGTCAACTAGACAACCGCAAATACATGTTAGTACTTGATACACTAGGAGTGTGCACCGGAAGGAACCTAAAATGAAAAACAGCTACGATCAACACAACCAGCAAGAATCAGGTGACAACTAGCCAATGATCCTTGAGAAACTGGAAAAATTTCCCGTCTCATAGTGGGGTTGCATTGAAAACGCAGGGTATTTTGGGCTCAGCTTCAACTAAGAATAGTTTTGACTTGATTTTCTCTTCGTCCTAGAAAGCCCTTGAAAGGAAAGAAACGATGGAAGGGGAAGGGTCGGGTACGGTGGGATAATGGGCGCAAAAGATGGCAGTCATTTTTGACGAGGTTTGTCTGTTTTGTATTGTTTGACAGGTATTTTATAAATGAAGTGTACAGTACGGAAAATTAGAAGAATTGAGTTGTCACTTCTTAAGGCATTCATTCCCTTCCTCCCTCGCTCGCCACTGCCGTGGAGAATAAAGTGTAGGCGGAGTTGTGCTGTACTGGTCCTTACGCAAGAAAAGGATCTGGGTCAAAGACCATTTTAATGACATATGAATGAGCAAGAGGTCATAAGATTCACGGGTACCCGACAGGAGGTCCGTCGCGCGGCAAGAAGGCAGAGTTAGCGGACAAGTCGCAGCGCGTGGTGTGCGATGTGGGACGTTCTATTTACCTTACCGCAAAATCACTGCAGTACGCGATGCGACTCGTCCGCCGACTCTGCCTTCTTGCCGCGCGACGGACCTCCTGTCGGGTACCCTGAGATTCACTTCTTGACGAGTTCTTCCTTCTGCTTCTCCTAAAGACATTGTGCTCAAAAGTTTTGGAACAAGGTCTGGTACCCCGGTCGTGAATGAGGCCCGGTAATTGCGCATAGCGCACGCGTCAGACTTTCGTGCAGAACAGAGGGATAAAATTCGTGCTCGGTCCATCTACCTATTTCGACAACTTCTGATTTAAAGGCAGGAATCAGGAGTACATTGATGGGTTGTTTTACACTCGAAATACACAGGAAATACGAGCATTTTGCTCATGCTGTGGAGAAGTTCAAAAGACAGGCAGGGAGATGAGAGATAATGTGAGCGCAGAGGGTGGTAGAGAAGTCCGAGAAGAGAGAGCATAGCAGATCAACGCAGCGACGCAGACAAGACATCGATCGGTGGGCGGACCATGTTATGTTTGGTGGAGTCTGTTAGAAGTCCATGGCGCCTAGGGTCCTAGTGACGCGTTTCGATGTAGAAAGGTGGCGCTACCTTTGCACTTGCGTGCCCAGCACTTCTAGCCATGGTAAGGGCTTCTTAGGTGGGTCTGAGCCCGAACTTTGCCTTTAAATCTGAAATCCAGCAACTCATTGTCGAGCCTGGTCATGTGATGGAATTGAACCTACAGTTATCCTTGTGACAAGAAAATTCCAGCATTTGTCTTACTTGCTTCCGTTATCCAAGCATTTACGTGGTATTTTTTTGAAGTGGGCCGCTCTTTACGGTCATGGTAGGAGAGCACTACGATCACTCACTGGTAGTCCACCATTGCCAATGGCGTCATCTTCCGTAACGTGGGAAACAGCGTCACGGATCCCTCCTTTAGAACCTTCTCGATACGATCCATCTCCATCAGCATCGGCCTTAGGAAAATCTCCCAGTACTTCACCCCCTTACCCAGAAACCGTCCTCACCAACATAGCTATAGTACTTGCCGGGGCCAGTGTCCAACCCCGCCCCCACTTTTTCCCTCCAAAACAGCCGTCGAGGGGGGAGTAGGGAAACAAAATTGCCTAATGAAATAACAAATCCTCTAAATTCCACCACTTCATGTTATCTTTCCAAATGTCCTCCACTTTCTTTCAAGATTATAGCTAGAAAACCCGCAAAGAACGACACCCTCTCCCGCCGCCACAATCCGATCAACTTCCAAAAATTGCGACCTCCCTTTGTCCAACCTTTTGGCCGTTATCCCTAATACGACCCTCTCCCGAAACAAACTCACATATGACCCCCCCCCTCGCGCAAAGCACAATACCTCGGTAGAAACTCCCGTATAATTGCTTGGAAACAATTGAACCCTGATTAACTTTTTATAGTCACAACAAGCATATGTAGTTGAAACACGTTCGCCTCTGAAAATGACGATTCAGTCCAAACTTTAAGCCATTTAAGATCCGAACAACCATGTTCTCATCAATGTGGAGCGCCATCATATCCCTTATCTGACCCGCTGTTTGAGGCTTTTTGCTGCCGGTGTCTCTTAGAGAGCTTTCATTTGAAACTTTGTAACTCTGTTCAGAGAATCGTTCCGCAAATTTGGAGGACGGATTTGAAGATCAGCGTCCGAAAACACGTCTGTGAGTATAGGTTTCATTACGAATGGCCACTTCGACCTGGTATCCTTCCCTTGTCAGAATCAATTACCTTATTTTAAAGTTTTTCGCCATGATAGGCTGATTGAGGGGAGGGGCTGGTAAGAGAATCGCTGGTAAGGGAGTCGTATCGCTCCCCCCTCCCCTCCCACTAAACACGCTAGGGTAGCTATATGGTCGAGGTGTATCCACCCGTAAAAATTTGACAAAAAATACATACACCTATGAGTGACTGGCCGGCGTGCCCACTGCTTACCTGCAGCGGCAAAGTGAACGAGCGTCAAAACACTTACGTTCGCTGAATTTCCTATGTAGCATAGGAGAGGAAGGTACTCTGAATGTTGTTTTGGTGGTGGAGTCCGGTAGAGGGTGTATCGGATTGCATCAAATTCAACGGTGCCTCAAGCTCAAGCATCCAAGGTCAGGGAGAGAGAGGGGTCGTACATCTGAAATCAGCCACAGGCCACTGCTGACAGTGTTCGTGAGTCGCTCCTATATTCGGTGCGCCATCAATTTGGAGCGGACAAGCCCATATTTTGAAGGAAATTTCAAAGCCGATTCCGCTCCTCCGACCTTAGTCCGCACCCACGTTTCCCCTTTGTAATAAGTGCCTATCTCCACGCTATCCAATTCTACTCAAAATTGTACCTCGCATCGAGCTTGTAAGGGAGTATATAGGGCAATCGAACAAGGGGTCTTCTTCCTACAAACATAACAAA